TTGCCCGTGACTCCGTCCGCGAGTATTAAAAAAACAAAACCAAGTAGCCTATGTGTTTTTTTAGACTATCCTCTACATCTATGCCAAATTTCATTGAGATCCGTTCAGCAATTTAGACAAACTCTAACATCCATCCATCCATCTAAACTTTCGCATTTATAATATTAGTATGCTTCACATAAGGTAATATAAACAGCCTGTCCTTTTAATAATGGCCACTCGAAAACGGCAAGGCCAATAAAAGCGAGAAATCTTTACTAGTTTTATAACAAAAAATGCGATTTGTTAAGTATATCAAAACTATTGCGACACTTGAATAACCAACTTTATTTTATTAGGACGCAACTATATATATTTTCTAAGTAAAAAAAGTTTTAAGTATTCATTATGTATGACAGGGATGCCAAAATCATTTTGTGTGCGTTACAATCGGCTATTTCTTGCACAAAGGAAGTAATCTAAATAGAAATTTGTATTAGTTTATCTTTCGCCCGCGATTCCGTTTACGTGGAATTAAAAAAATAGCTTTGTGTTCTTCCAGATTATTCCATAACTATGCTAAATTTCATCGAGGTCCGGTCAGCAGTTTAGACTACAAACTCTAACATCCATCCATTCATCTAAACTTTCGCATTTATAATATTAGTCAAGATCTTTGTTTGATTAAAATGGAGTTATAACAAATTCGACATCAGCGCCTTCAAATTGTTGTTTTAAAATTTGTTAGACTTCACCGTTTTAATTGTTCTCATAAATTCTGTTGGCAACCCTAGCAGTAATTCAATACAATACGCCACATCTATTCACACTCGTTGACACATTTATTATGTCCCCGATTAACAATCACAAAACGAAATTAGAACCCAATAATATTATTAAGTTTTTTGCGTCACTTACTCCGCGGTACAAAGATTTGATCCCCTTATCCCATACCTTGAAACTTCAAGTATTGCCACCTCGGGTTACCACCTACGTATTTATGTAAACACAATAAATATTTTTTGCACCCCTAGGGTAGTGTAGATTTAAGATGTGCTCGAGATTTATAGTTAAGATGAAATTGTAATACAATCGTTTTATTATCTCTGAATTTGTTGCCAGTGAAAATTTTATGACATTTGAAGTGTCAACTCAACATAACCTAAAAAATAGTTGTTTTTCACCTCTATAAATGTCAATTAAACTTAAATTACGATAAACGTTTACTTAATTGTAGTTTAACATTAGTTTGATGTAAGATATGATAATGATTATAATCGTAATGAATTTAAAATCGATTGGCGTTAGCTGTTCTTTTAGAAACCAAGATTATTTTACAATATTAGGTTTTTAACATTACATTTCACTATATCCAGACTAATATTATAAAGAGGAAAGATTTGTTTTCATTGAATAGGCTCCGAAACTACTGAACCGAACTTAAAAATTCTTTTGCCATTAGAAAGCTACAATTTGAAGGCTGATTTATAAACAGGGTATCAACTAGAAAGGTATGGATATGACAGAAAATAAGACATGTTCATTCTTAGCCACCCAGTCGGAACTGGGACGGATTTCTTACATAAATAACATGTTACAATGATAAAAACGCAACAGACAGTTTTACACAAATCATTTACAATTGTAACCATTATTATAATGCCGTTAATCACATTAAATCAAAACTTTCAATAACATTATCGAGGTAGGCAAGCGTGAGCATTAAGTCGGTGCTAAGTGGATTACACGGCATGTGTCGGATCCATTCACTTATGGGTTCATTCACTCATGGGTTCATTCTCTCATGTGATCATTCACTCATGTGGTTCATTGTTGGTCAATACGGTAGAAGCACGCGGTCTACTTCCTGCTCTCAAGTACTTGCATTTGATTGACTTTTTGTAATGCAATTACGATATCGCGATTGCCGCTGTGGACATTTTTTTGTTAAAAAAATATTAGTAGATTTTTGTTAATTTACTAGTTAGTATTTCCTTTACCCTTTCCAACTAAGCTGTAGGCTTGTGCTAGGATATGGTTCACGACAATAGTCGAATGGCAAGATTCGAACCCTCGACCGCAAGATCGGTAGTCCGGTAGTATCGGTACCCCAAATTAGGCTATTGGCGCGTAGTTTTATATTTATATATACTTCGAGTTTATATTTCAAAATTCAAATCCAATATTTAAACTTATGCCTGCTATAGACATTCAAATTAAAACGGTCTGAACAGTTCGTGTGGAGCGAGCTTTACTGTTATTTTGTTTTGTAATAATGAGAATTTAAATATAAAAAAAAATAATTTCTGTTCTATCGTCCTATACTTAGTATATTTCGTAGATGTTTTGTTTTTAATTTTTTTCTAGCTAAACTTTTATTACACGTGTTCACGTAATTTCTATTGACATCGCAAATTATTTCGGACATCCGTCTCAATTTTAACTTCATAAATCAATGGTATTTTTTGTAAGGAATGCAAAAACTTTCGCACAATACGCTACCGAGGGTGAACTGGTAAGCTGTTTAAATATTTATGAACTATTTACGTATTGACAAAACAAAATGGTCGACAATGGTACTCGGCCATTGTTAGGATGTTCGCAACTTTAAATCTCACACTGGGACTGAATCGCCGTGACAGCGTCATTATTACATCTTGTTGTCTCTTTCTTTCCATTCGAAAAAACAAAGACAGCAATATGTATTAATAAAAATGAGAGACCAGTGAAGTTCGACGGTTAAATCCCACTTATGAACGGTTTAATAGCCACTCGAAAGTTTCCGCGATTTTTTTTAACAAGAGTTGTAAGTGGAGTTTCATTTTACGCAAATATATTTCTTATTTGTTAAGGAAATTGAGTGGATTCTTCCTTAAATAAGATTTAATGCTCGTATATTATCTCTTATTATTATAATTTGAAAGGAGGTTGGCTTTTAATTGAAATATTATTATTAATTATTGATATGTTTCTTGTAATATTTGTACGTTATATGGTTGAGACATAACTAAAATAAATAACAATAACATATATTAGTATTATTTTATTATAAATGGTATTTGAAAAATAAAAGCAAATTAAAAGGTTGCGCATTCCGAAACTAAGCTATCGCATAACTAACTAAGTCTCGCTTTGATTCCTATATTATGTGAAGGTTCGCATACTACTTGATTTTTAGTTCTACAAAACAGTTGAATTGGCTGTAAAACAATCGACAATCGTACAACTGTCGTGCGATAGTTTAGTCAACGGTGTGTGTCCGCTTTAAAGCTGCAACAAATCAATAAAGGTTATTTTATTTCGGAACGTAATTTTGCAGCGTAACTACAATCAGGCGTGTAAATGTTCATGTAAATATTTTCAAAGCATTCATTCAGTGTTGATTGCTATTGTTTGAAACGTAGCGATGCAAAATTATTGACTATTTTACACACATACATATTTTCATTATACATTCTGAGTTACTTATTTTGTTAGGTACAATTTTATTACAGTTCTATTCAGTCTATGTTAGATTGTAGGCCCCATAGCATTTAGTTTACAAATCTATTTTATATTTCTCGATAATCTATGTCATCTGCTTCCTCTTGCTTCTTCTTTGCAACACTCATGTTTAACAGTTACTTGTAATTACATAAATTATAACACGGCTATATTCACGTGACAACCTTCGGTGTAGACACCGACCCGTCAGTGGTCCTTCTTCAGGGTGAGTGGTCACTGATAGTGACCGTCGCGACGCGATAGCGAATAAAGCCGGTAACCACTCACCCTGCAGCAGGACTCCAGACGGGTCTGAAACTGATCGCTGCCTACACCGAAGGTTGTCACGTGAATTTAGCCGTGTTATAATTTGTATAGTATAATGTCTCACGAAATTTTTACTAAGTTAATTACTTGTAATTATGTTATTTTTTTTAGAAAATGAAACATGAAGTGTGATGGAAAAATAAAACCAATTGTATATTAACATTTGATAGACCGGATCCGTCATCTGCGTCTCCTAAACCGCGAATCGATTTCAAGAACATCGGACGGACATCGATGTTCTTAAGCTCTCTTAATTCAATTACAACACTATTGTTATATCGGTTTTTGCCCTTCAGTTAACACCTCAACAATGCATTTATTTCGTCAACAATAACTGTACACACAACACAATGGCGGTCGAGTTTCGGACATGTTGAAGTCCACTCACGATGATCATTGTATTTTTTTCACCACTTAAAAGTAACTGTTAAATATTAAGACCATATTTTTAAGAAAAAGAGAACTTCGTTATTACAAAACATTCAGCCCATAAAGGCGAAATGAAGAATTTCCATTTATTTATGCTCCTATGACAATATTAAGCAATTTTTTATTTACTTATGATAGATTTATATAAACTCTAGAAGTCCAGAAGCGTTGTCTCCCATTCGAAGGTAAAGCTTTTCCATTTGCCACTGGTTTGCCTTTAAACAATTTTTTCGTACACTTATATTAAAAGAAACTGCATAAGACGATAAATTACTAATTTTCCAATAAAACTTATTGTTTTAAAATAATAAAAATATGTATTATATTACTTGTGTCCTTACTTGACTATAAAGTATGGTCACCATATTTCACAAATGGTGAATTGTTTACGCTTCAAGTGTTTATCAAGTCCTGCACCAGATACTTATCTTAATCTCGGCTTAGTGGCGCTTTAGTGTATTGTTAGGTTGTCTAAATGCGTTTCATTATGTCTTGCCAATGCCCACCTATACACAATGGCAACATTATCAATCCTTAGCTCCCACGCATTACAAAGTTACAAATCTTTTCCGATCGCATATCCGGTAGAAATTATTTATTATCTATGAAGTAAATAACAAATTAAATTATGTTACCATTTGCAAAAAATAATAATATTTCAACAAATATTTTTTTTAAATAGCAGCAAAGTGAAAATATTTTTTGGAATCATGTTCTCGGTGCCTTTAAGTTAATTTATAAAAAAAAACTATTAACGTCAAACTCAACATGACATTGTCATTTTGTAAATTTTAGTTTTTTCAGACGTCATATACCAAAAATTTATATTTTTACAATGATTTATAAAATGGAGAAAGCTTATAAAAAGAACGCATTGATGTTTTCGATTAAAAATACTATAATGTTACTTTTTATGGTGGGTACAGTAATGGGGTTGCATATATGGATTGTTTGCAAGGCGCTTTCAGTGCTTGGTGACGTCACAACCGTGATCGTGGTGAACCATGGCAGACGTTCCTTGAACTGGCCAGACGATTCTATTTACTTGTTGAATTGGGACAAACATTTAGACACGAAAAGATATCATTTTCGCTGCTGCGCCTCACCGAATTGCAAATTAACTAAAGACAGAAATTATTTCGGCGAAGATTACAAATACTTCGACGCAATGTTGTTCAGTGAAAAATATTTAGAATCAACAAATCGACCGAACAGAAGCATGAACATGTTAAATATATTTATATCGATGCAGCCAGATATTAAAAATGTTGTCTGTGACGACTATTATGACGATTTCTTCAATCTAACTTTTACTTATCGACTTGATTCCGATTTAGTGTGGAAATACTTTATCGTTAGGAGCCTTAGTCGGGATATTATAGCTCCAAGTTTATCACCTGCTTGGAATAGAAGTTTAAGCCCTGTCCCCCAAGACATAAAGTCCATTATTAAAGGAAAAACTAAATCTGTCGCTTACATAGATAGTTGCGGACTGGCGAACTTTACACAACCGTATATATCTGATTTACAAAAAAATTTAGAACCGTATTCTATTAAAATATATAGGTACAACTGTTCAAATACATGCGGGAAAGTAGCATGTAATAGGATATTTAAAAACGAATATATGTTCTACATAATATTTGAAGATATTTTCGCTGAGGATTATGTTACTATGAAAATATTACACGCGTATGCGGAGTATGTGGTGCCCATCATTTATGGCGGAGCTAATTATACCAGGTAAAATTATTTAATCTGCTCAAAAACTTTGCAACACAATAAATACATTATCCTCATCTTCTTTATCCTACTCTCGCAGTGGCGTAACAGTTTTTTGTACTCCACATAACTCTATCATACGTCATCTCAGTCATCACTCCCTTCTTGATCATGTCACCTTTCACGCAATCCATCCATCTCTAGGTCTACCTCTACTTCTGTGTCTCCACACTTATAACTAACGTTCTCCTTGTAGTATACGATTCATCCCTCCTCATAACATGCCCATACCATGTTAAACTTTTACTGTTAACTTTTTCTTCCATTGGGGTCCTACATTATTGTTTTTGCGCAGCTTTTTACGTGTAGCACCGTTAGAGTCCCCGACTATACCTTTCTGTATTCAAACCTATGATATTATCATACTTCATACTTCTTACTAATATTATAAATGCGAAAGTTTAGATGGATGGATGGATGTTTGTTAAAGTTTGTAGCCTAAACGGCTGAACGAATATCTATAAAATTTGGAATAGATATATAGGATAGTCTGGAAGAACACATAGGCTACCTGAATTTGTTTTTTTTTAGTTCCGCGCGGACGGAGCCGCGGGCGAAAGCTAGTAGTCTATGAAAGGTTCGGTGAATTGTAGAATTAAAGCCAATTTTAAATATCCAAAGCTATTTCTATTTGTCCCTTATAGATTCCTACCGCCCCATTCATACATCGATGGCCGTGCTACAAGCCCAAGTGATATCGCAAAAGTAATCAACGAGTCGTTGAGCAACTATACTAAATACGAAGAATATTTTAAATGGAGAAACCTGTACACTATTGAAGCTTATCAACCATTTTGTGATATTTGTGAAGCGTTAAAAAATAAAGTTAACAAAACTGGAAAGAAAGATTTCAGGCAGTGGTGGAATGGTAAACGCATGCAACAATGTTCAGTAACGTCTAAAAATGTTACTTATAAAATCACTGAAGATAATCAAATTCATTAAAAGAAAACATACATAAAAGTGTAAGAAAATAAGGTGAATACGGTACTGGAAAATTTTGACAGGGGCGGATTTATGTAACAAAGTAAACAAATAAACCTGAAATAACAAAATGTGATGTTAATGGAAATAAAATTGTGATAATTTCTACAAATCAATTATCTTTGATTTATATTGAAATACGCTTATATGATAATTATAAAAATATTTGTGTACATAAGTAGTTTATTTAATAAATATATCATCACACATAATACAGTAATATCGCAGAAAAAAAACAACCTCAAAATCTATTGAAAAGGTTACATTTTATCCGCTATAAAATACCCACGTTTCGATACCAGCCCTCGAAAACCGCGCGAAGCCATAAATCTCTTCGCTTTGGGAGCTTACAGAAAACTCATCAAATACGAAACTTATAAGAGTTCATTGAAACCGTTGCGGTACCGATAGTTTTCTAATCCGTCTATACAATAACATAGGTTTATTAATTTCGTATCGTTCACAAAAGCATGTTACTACAAATATCGCTACAAAGAGAGTCTTGTAATTACTGTTAGTCGACTTGTCCCGGGGGAGACGCTTACAATACGATAGTTAGGGAAGGGGGGCGTATCAGCGTTTAACGAGCAAATTATTTAGTAAATGTTGCCAAATAATAACATTAATGCGGGTAAGGGGAGCAAGACTGGGGATAACGAAAGATCGCTTTGTGTGGACCGCGATTTTTACATTTTATGTTTTAAATGTGACTGCATTGGTTAACTAGTTAAACTTTAACGAGTCATTTATTACACGGATATTGAAAAAATACTAATTTTGACGTAAACGCGTAAAAATGAACCAAATTAAACAAAATATTAGCTACTTCTCTATCGGTTAATATTATTTTTTAAGACTAAGTTAATTATCATCGTCTTAGACCTCTAAATACCATATCAGAATTAGACAATAAAAAACCAAATGATATAGCAAAAATCACGGAACCAACGAAAACGGAACATAAAGCTCTATCCACAAAATGTCAACAAGAAGGGAGTGGACCCTAATATTTTCATAGAGGGCGGCTAACCAATGAGAGCTCGTGAGTTCAGAGTCGATCCTGAATACCACATAATTGAGTGGCTCTTCGCTCCACTGATCTATTGTCAACAGTCATTACGTGCTTAATGCTCAATTAATAACAGTTTTATTGACATCTCGCTTCAGCGCACACTAACAATAACCTTCTGATTCGCTCACTGTAGCTTTTTAATTTGAATTATTTAACATTCAAATCAATGATCATTTAAAGTATAATTCTAGTTTACCCATTCCCCCCATTCAGCGAGTAGGATAATAATTAGCAAAAAATTTTAACAGAAATTTTGCTATAAATTTTATATCAGGCACTTTTATAACTTTCACTTTATTTTAGCAACTTTTGGACTAAAACTTTTTAATCATGTACTAAGGAATAGCATTTTAACAGGATTAATTTAAAGGTTGTAAATGTCGATTTAAAACATTTAAGTAATGAATATTGACGTATTTATAATTTGTTAGCCACAACTAAACTGTAACAATGATTTGAAATCTCCAAGGCAAATTCCCAATTAAATCAGTCCTTGCGTCCCTCGGCATTAAGTCTGAACGTTAACTACCCAATCTGATCAATTAAAACTTCAGCTATCCGTCTTAAAGGTACGAAATACACGAATTGTATTCATTATCAATTTAAAATAAAGTTCTTAGATACTACGTTAAATAAATTAAACAAGATAAAGTTAAGCTTAAAAGCTACTTTTATTGCTCGCGACTTCGCCCACGTGAAATTAAAATTTATAAAAAAACATGTCCTATCCTAAGTTTACTGATAACGTAGCTTTTTAATGGTGAACGATTTTTTTTAATCTGTCCAGTAGTTTTTGAAATATTCCAATACATACAAAAATACAAATCTTTCCTCTTTATAATATTAGTATAGTTAATAAACAATTTTTGTTACATCAAAAGATGTTTTTTTTTATTGCAATCTATAAAAATAATAACTAGAACTCATACACTTTATTATTCAAAATGTAAACGTTTAAAAGATTTTCATTTTAAAAATCGAAATTTAAAAACTGGCTGGAAATACCTCGAGTCCTTTACCTCGAGATAAAAAAAGTTGTCATAGTGATGGGATCCGCATCAATGATCCCTCGGGACGTTCTTCCCCACAAACGGAATTGATAATTTAATAACGTACGGAACGCGCCGCCTAATCTTCAAATTAGCAATACGATATGAATAAGTAGATTTCGGTTTTGGAACAAAGCAGATGTCGAGGGAATACGACTTAGGCCTAAGGGCGGGTGTTTACCGAATCATTAGCTAGCTAACGAAGGGTTGTACGTACAAAATATAACTCCGCATTGTTTTATTGTGTTTTTAAAAGTTCTACTCATTATTAGCTGTTCTCGTGCAGCTTCATCCGCATGAAATTATAAAAAACTTTATTTTGTTGTTTACATTTGTCAAATTCTCAACGGCAAATGTCACAATTGCCCTTATCATAGTAACGTTGCTTTCTTAATGTTGGCAACTTGTAGTTTATGATCCCTCGTGAAGGATTTTTGCAATTTATTTACTCTCTGAGTATTGATAGTGTGGAAATATACAGCCTAAAGCGTGTCGTGTGACCCTTTTTATTAAAGAAAGAATTATCAAAAAATATACTGTAATTGCTGACATCTTACGTCACAAAGCAGTGTTTGTTTACGCTTTATTAGTGTAGATAGATAGATTTCCAATAACTAATTTACGTCGAATAGAAATTAAACACCTAGTACGTAAAGTAAAGTGTTATTTTTTCTTTAATTTTTATATCAACGATAAATATGTGTAAAAGAAATGAAGTAACAAAATATTAGCATATAAATAAAGAAGTAAAGCGTAAACATTTAACAAATAATTCAATAGCACCGTAACGGCGGCAGTACGCCTCTTGAATATAATAGGAGTACATCGAGCGAGCAAAGATACGCCAATTAGGAGGGCAGGAAGCCCGCGCGCCTGCGCACCGCCTAATTGCTTCCGTCACTGTCTACCCCCCAACCCCCATCCCACCTACACCCCTCCTCACACTCCTAAGTCCCTCCCTGGCGAGAATACGATATCTCAACCGCTAGGTATACTGTTTTTTAAACAGTTTTGTGTTGTACTGAATGTTAACTTGAACAAATCTTTTACTATTCAGATATGACTTTATTTTTTAATTTCAACGCTTATGTACTGTATGTATATTTAAATAATGAGACTTATTTATGTACTGATTAGTTTTTTTACTGGTTTTAAAGTTAAATTAAAAAAAAAACTATATAGGATCACGTTTCAATTTATCTTGCAATCTTACTGATATATGCGCAAGTTTAGATCGATGGATGCATGTTTCTCTGAATTTACCTCCAAACCGCACAGCAGATGTCGCTGAATTTTGGCATAGACACTTACTAAGATTTTTTTTTAATTCCACGCAGATAAAGTCGTCGGGAAAAATCTATAATTTAGTGTTATAAAGAGCACATACACAAAATTTAATTTATGCAATCCAAATATTTTCGTAGCCGCAACAATCAAGTTACAGAATTTAAATATGATGCCATTTTTTACGGAAAAAGCATCAAAAGCGGACAAAGGTATAACAAAATGGCGAGTAGATAGAAGCCGGGTCCAGTTTCGACATTTTTCGATGTGAACCGATACCCGGAAGCAATCTGCATCGGACAATGCGGAGTGCACATTGTCCGCACGTGACCGGGTGTGCGCCTGCCCTTATTTAAAAAAAATGCATGGCGAATCGAGGCAATTAGCGACGCTATCAAGATTAACTAGTTATTGTAACGTTTATCTTAATCTATCTTCTTTGTTCAAAC